CAAAAAAAATACAGTAGAATTTCGATTAACCACGAGGACAGGCCGTAAAAGTGAAATTAACAAAAACGCTATTTTGATTCAGCTATGATTTGTACAACCAATAGGAAAAAAGTGGTGGTTCAGCTTAAAAGTTGTTTTCTTTTATCTTTGATTTAAATAAATGGTAAGATCTGCATTATTATAATGTTAGCTGCAATCAGTAATGAAGGTGTGAATCCGTTTTTGTTTTCCCTAGACACTGAGTGATTCAGAATAATTTTCAAACTTCTTTTTTATTTTACTTTTAAAGAAAACTTATTTATTTCCTTGAAAATATATTGGATAGAATAGTAATTGTAGAAACACATATATTTGTTAAATTGTAGATGATTATAATACATGAATTTAATGGTAGATAATTAATACATAAATTAAATTGTAGGTACATACACATAAATTAATATGTAATGCATTTACATAAATTAAATTGTGTATGCATAGATAAATTGAATCGTAAATGCATATATGTAAATTGAATTGCATATATAAATTAAATTGTAGATGTATATTTTAAATAGCAAATAAATGCTAAGTTGTAAAATGTATGGTAACTACTAACTCATGCATTCTTCAAACTGCCAAAAAGTAAATTGAATGTATCATCTTGTTTCATCATAGGTAATTTCTTTTTAAATATAGAATTTTGAAACAATTATCTTTTTAAATCTTGTTAAGATTTAATTATTAAGTATAAGCAATTTAAAAGTAGTAAAAAGTAAAAAAAGCTTTTAAATAATAATTTTTATCTCTCAACAAATTTTGGCTTAATATCTTTCAGGAATTTTTGGCCTTTATCAGATAGTCTCAGGCAGGCTACTATTAAAATTCTTCTGGCTTGGGTCGGCCCATAAAAAAGCCAGAGCTCATTTATAATGAAACAAATACTGGAACGAAAACTTTGAGCTGTACACCTTCTTAAATGAGATTAAAGATTCAATCATGCCTATAGTTGAGGCACAAACTAAAAATTTAAACATTTTAGCACTTTGTCGGATTCCCTCAATAGTTAATATAATTAATGTACAATTTTTTTAGTATTTTAGGGAAAACTTTAAACTCTTCCATAAATTCAAAAAATCTATCAAATTGCAAAATATAAATAGAATAGAAAAAAAAAGTCTAAATTTAAATTACATACAATCAGTGTTTTTAAGAACGGTTTTTCATTTAAATCAGCATATTTTAAAAAACTTTTAAATTACTTAAGATGCCCCATTTTTAAATAAATGTAAGAATAAATAAATTAGGGTAAAGAAACTGATATAGAGAATTAATTCTGAAATATTTGGAAGAAAAAAAACCAACTCAAAATCGCAATAAAAAAACTTGAGTTAATATTTAATCTAACACAATTTTCTAAATTATGATAAATAAAAGGCAGTACAGAAAAATCCCGATCCCCTCGGAGCAGGAGTATGCTGGAAATTGAAATTGCGGATAATAGGAAACCTTTTTCATCTCAATTATTTAAGTGCATAAAAATTAAATTATGAGTAAAATTACTCAAAAGAATTAGCAAAAATGATAACAAAAAAAAAACTTTACTCGATTTATTTTTCTATTATACATAATAAAACAATATGGCGTTTTTTGTCGTTTTCTAGAAACCAAATTTTGGACTCATCATCACTACAGTGATTGGATTGAATTGAATGTGGGATTTAATGGCACAAGGTCCAAATAAGGCATCTCTGTAATGATGCTGAAATGTGTTCAGAACGCTTTAACATGTGATAAAAAAGGTGTTGGATAACCAAAGTGTTGTATGATCGAGCACATTATGTTTTCTTCAATCTGCATTTCACTTCATCGATATTCTACTGTATAATTTTATAAAAGTGTTACCAAACTGAAAGCTGAACGGACTAGATTATTTATACATTTGTTCCTTCAGTAGATATGCGTACACTTAAAGAATTGGTAAAAAAAAAAAAAATGAGAGAGATTCAATGTATTAAACTGAGACTATAAAGGAAACATTTTAGAGATTACATTTTATGAACATTTTGAAGTGGTTATTTTTTATATCACAGTACTAACACACATTTGAATAAAGCAGTTTCAAGCAATGTTTAAAGTATTCAACGAGATTAAATCGACAATATATGTTGAACAATAAAATAGGGTTCAAACCCAACAACCGCAAAAAAAGTTTTACCTAGCAAAAAAAATTTAAGTACCTTCCTCTTAGTAAAAGGTTAAAAAGTACAGAACCTCAGTAAAACACTTAAGAAAAGGTAAGAAACTTAACACTGTGATCTACGGGTCAAAATTTAGTAACAAACTTAAATATTGCTTTCTAGGAGGAAGAGACTCAGTTTTCCAAACGTAATTTCTTTACCCTTAATGGAATATGAGACTAAATAGGAGTGAATAAGACTAATAGCTGACAAATTACAAAGGATTTAAGGAATTTTGCATTCGACTTGTTCATTTNTTTTTTTTTTTTTTTTTTTTTTTGAAACATAGCAATCTTGTAGCTTTCTAAACAAGTTGCAGATAGTTTATTATGCATGCTTTTTTTATTTATTTTTTTAACACTGAGCTGAAAGAGACAAAATTTGAAATAATAGATTAAATAACTGAGTAGAAAAATGTAAAATTTCAAAAAGTCAAGACTTTTTACCACTTTCCTAGAGGAGGGTATTTAACAGTTTGTTACTAGGTAAAACTTTTTTATTAGATGTCCAGGTTTTAATCATTTTTTAATTAGTTTTACTAAACTAATGACTTTTCCTTCCATCAGGGAATTTAAAATTGCAAATTGTTTTTGAGAACTATCAATGGAAGATCAAATTCATGGAGGAAAAATTGAAGAAACTTTTTACACAAATACATATAATTAGAGTTACTAATTCAATGCATACAAATGTGTTCAGGAATGATTCAAATATTTAAAATATAAAAATCAAGCATCAGATGATTTTCTTTCTTTCCCCTTTATAAAGATTTCACAGACACAATTTCTTAAAAAATAAATGAGAAGGAATATTTTTGCCCTGCATTACAATTTAAACCCAAGCTGTACAGACATCACACTTGCACATTAATAACATATTTACAGCACACACTTAGGGTACTTAAAGTCGCAAATACATAAAGTTATATTGCAAGACATAAATTAGAGATAAAATATTTATTAGTTGAAAAAAGAAATATATTACGTTAGATGCTTAGTTAATATACAAAGTACTATATTCTGGAATGGCAATAGTATCAAAAGAATTTATATAATGAAACAACAAATGAAGTAAATTCTCTATGATGAAATAATTTTCCAATAAATATTTGGTCTCTTTAATTAATATATCTCTTTAAATAATATATCTCTTTAAAAATATTTATTGCCTTGTCATAAAAGTACATTTGTTAAAATAAAAAAGTGCATTTAAATATATTTTATCTGCATGCATAAATTAAAATAATCTTTAGTTTAAAATTTATTCAAACTTTAAACTGAGGTCTAAATTATAAAATAAAAATTCTCATCTGGAATGGCAATAGTATCAAAAGAATTTATATAATGAAACAACAAATGAAGTAAATTCTCTATGATGAAATAATTTTCCAATAAATATTTGATCTCTTTAATTAATATAACTCTTTAAATAATATATCTCTTTAAAAATGGAACTTCTTTAAAAATATTTATTGCCTTGTCATAAAGGTACATTTGTTAAAATAAAAAAGTGCATTTAAATATATTTTATCTGCATGCATAAATTAAAATAATCTTAACTTAAAATTTATTCAAACTATAAACTGAGGTCAAAATTATAAAATAAAAATTATTCTCATCGCATAAGCATTTTCCATGCATTAAAATATCATATATTGACATGATTATTATAAATGTAATGAGACTTGTTTTTAGTTTAAATTTAAACAAAAATCATTCGAAATATTTTACAAGAAAAATGTATTAAAAAATCAATTCAAAATTATTAGAAGTAAATCTTGAAAATGCATACATTAACACTCGAAATTAACATTGGTAATTAATGAAATCAAAGCATTTGAGGACTAATACACATAATATAATCACAGGAGACTAATACATAAAATATAATTATACTAGACCAAAAATAGATAGGAATGTATTTTCTAAATATAGAAAAAAAAGTTTTAAAATAAAACTTAATGGCTGAACATGTTGACAGATATTTCAGTGAATTTAAGAAAATCAGCTATAGAAGGTGCGTTTAAGAACACCATAATGTATTTAGGAAAAAAAGTGTTAAAAATATCATGTATGTTCTTAAAGAACACCGTGCATGTTCATAACACCATAATATGTGTTTAAGAACACATGCTTTGGTTGATGTAAATATTGTATCCAAAAATAATGTTTTGAAACGAGGATTTAACATGTTCTTCCACTAAGCTCTTGATTTGAGAAAAGAAAAATATAATTTAAATAGGGAGCTAAGAAACAGATATAGTTATGAAAACTGTCAAAAATATGAAGGCAAAAATTCAATGCAACGCATGAAAATATATATTATACTCTGTGAAATATACAGCAATACTTCAAAAAAAATTTCAGAGTCTTATGAACAAAAATATCATGTTTGTTTCATTTAAATCAACAGCTCATTTCAAAATAAAAAATATTAGTGCATTTAAATGTAATAAAAATAATTGTTGTTCAATTTAAAATATGGTTTCTCTGAAGTTGGCAAGAATATCTTTTAGAAGTACATATAAATAGAAAAAAAAACTCTTACAATACGTATAGGGAATAAAATTTGAATAAAAACTAAATAGTACAACAATAAAAACTAAATAATATATAAAGTAAATACTTATACATAATTATTAGATAAAAACAAATTTAACTTGCTTCTAAAGTACAAAAAATTCAGTATATAAAAACTTTGACAAGAAACAGATCTATTTAACATAAAAATCTAATTTTAAACAATTTAATATTTTGACTAAAAATCTAAAAGATTATCAAATTTCATACTATATGGAACTAAATACTACAATTTAACAATTTTGTCTCCATACAAAAAAGATTTTAAATCATTATTATTAATAACAGTTGAGAATAAAATAAGGTAATTATATACGAATATACAGCATTTTATCAGAATTAAAAATAAAGGTTTGCAGATTTAGAGATGACTAGAATGTAACATTCAAATGTAAACATAAAAACAATGACCCATGATGAAAATAATCAGGATGTCATCATTTTTTCAAAACACCTTTTTCTGTGGCTCTCAATTTCTTGGCAGAGATTAATTCTATAATCAAACTGCGATATCAAAAATTGTTGCGTATATAAAGTACCCTGAAATTGTTCAAATGTGATGCTCCAGTCTTTTTGTGCCTCATAGAGGGAATCGCAATTCGAGGCTCTGGAGTCGGCGTGTAACCGAATTACTTCAGGAATTTTGGGAGGGGCAAGATCTGTGTCATCTGAGGTGTCATCCTTGAGTTTCTCAAATGGTGCTTTAGAAGAGGAACTTTGACTACTTGTACTTAGATTGTCATCGTATAGATCAAAGTCATCAAAATTTTGGACGACTGAACCTAATTCTCCTATTTGAAGAAGTAGAGTACCTAGAGATACAATGAATTTACCATTATAATGTAAGAATAAAAATACTATTTAAGTACACATGTTAATTTATAACTACTAATTCCTTTATCAATAAAGTGTCATCGACTAATATAAAATAAAACTGACACTATAGTTAACTTAGAATAAAAATATAGTTATTAAGAACTAAACAAAAGCATCAGTCAAGACAACTGAAGACCGCAAGAAAGCAAAAATTATTTATTAAATTTTTTAATTTTTAAAATTCATTAAAGCATGCTCCATATACAGATCAACATTGACAAAATGCAAAAACTGATTTTGATTTTATTTTGTCACTTTTGTATCTTTGTTTATATTTTTGTTTGTTTTGAATTGTCTGAGTACTTGAAAATACTCTATCAGAGTCCAAAATTGTATTTTGACTAATAGGATTGTTCATAATATAAGCATAACCATTGTGATGTTATTTATATATAGAACAATGCTATCATAAGTCAAAATTTCTATACTCTATTTTTTATATTTCAAAAAATAATGAATGACAATCATTGTTGCTCATTAATAATTGTTGGCTCAAATTTATAATGATTAAGTAAAATGGAAATATTTATCCAGCACTCAACTAAGTAAAACTTTTCACACTCCAAAATTTATTAAATCACATTAACATTGAAACTGGTCTTCTTTCATTTATTGAGCTGAGGATTATTATTATTACAAATTAATGGTTCCGAAATTCAGTTGTTTTATAATTTTATGACACTACATACATTTTTTCGAAGACACATTACATAAATTGCTTTGTAAACATCAAATATATTACTTTAAAAAATATTAACTTACACAAAGCATTGCTCATTTTGTTTCTCAAAAAATCCCTCAAAAATTATATAATATTTAATATTTATTAATATTTTTTATATTAATTAAAACTAACTAATTTTTAATTAATTGAAAACTTTTGTAATCAATCTAAACAAATTAAATTTCAGTTGAGAATTAACCTCAATTCTTAAGTATGCAATAATAAATTAGTATGCAGACTTATATTAAGTTAATTTAGCTTTTCAGTAAAACAAATAAGTACATAAGTCCACTGTGTAAAAGGACATTAACCAGAAGCATACTATTCCAAATGTGAAGTTGAATATGTTAAATACATTATCTGCATAAGAAATAAATTAATATTTTGGTAAATGAAACAAGGAAAAATCGTGACTTATATGCATATATATCTATGGATCAGCATTATTATGAAAAATTTCTTACCAACTTTTGCAATACAATGGTATATTCTCTGTTCATCTTGATGCATTGCAAACATATCATACATTGATTTCCACACGTCAATAAACTGTTCCTTTAAAGAAAATGTGAAAGAATGTTTAATTTAAGCATGTGTTTTCTTTTCTACAATTACATGCAAATAGTAATACGTAAAATTATTCATTAATATTATTGTGATGAGGCAGTGGTTAAGGGGCACTGAACTGAAATTATGAAGAGCTAAGGTTCAATCTCCATAGACAGCTTAAAAATCATTCAGCTTCTGATCGATTACTACCAGCTCGTCTGGGAAGTAAAGGCAATCAGGTTGACTTATGACTCCCTGTATCATTAGTCTTGATATTGTGGACCTCCTTTTCCAATAAACTGACTGTTGCAAGAGTGCTTTTTTCATTACTTATTTATATATTATTTGCAACATAGTGATCATATGCTACTAAATGAATTTCAATTTGAATAAAGTTTATAAACCTAAATTTGAACAATTAAACGAATAAGTTTTAAAATCACTGTAATAATTTCTTTTTCAGTAAAATTGAACAGAACAAAACTATCGAATTAATTTAAACATATAAAGATGATTTTTAAAAAAATGCTTATCTAGGGTCTTTAATAAAATAGAAACAGATGAAAATGAAGGAATAAGAATGATTATAACTTAAATTCATAAGAAATAACATGACATTATATTGAATACACAATTGCAAAATAAAAGGGGGGGGGAGGCAAATTCAAAAACAACAACAACACTCACACTCCTGGGCATCAGCTCTTCTAGCAACACTTTGAGCAATGCCCTAACTGACTGTGCAACAAAACACATTGAAGTTCAAGCATGTTACATGCATTTTACTTGTTATTGTCATTTTTTACTAATCTAAGAAAATTTCTTTTGGAAAAAAATTTCTTGAGCATGATAGGACTTGTAAGCCCAAAAGTAGAAAACTCTATATTGATCTGCAACATCTTGGAAAAATTCTAACATTTGTTTGCAGAGTTTGAGGTAATATATTTGGATTCAAATATTATCATTGGTCGGTTAGCAAGTTTTAAAAGGAAAGAAAGTGAAATACGACAATACATATAAAATTAATTAAAGTACTAAGAGAAAATACTTAAAATTAATAAATTTGAACTTCACTAGAGAAGATGAAAACTTCTATGAAGATTAAAGGTTTGTTGTTAGTACAAGGAGATCAATATATTAACTTAATTGTGTCAGAATTCTTTTTTCTTTTGCTTAATGCATTGTTTATTTTTTTATACATGGCTAAAATCAATCTGTGATGCTCTCTGCATGTGGCACTAACTCAACTACCGAGCTCGCAAGTGAACAGTAGCTTGCAATATAAAAAAGAGACACAGAAAGGAACAAAAGCACATCTGCATTAAAATAATGTAAAAAAATGAGACATCACATATGTTCATGCATCAACAATTAATCAAATCAAAATTGAAAAGTCAGTTCATTTAATTTGTTTGAGTACTAAATCCAGATTTACATATCTGTAATCTATTTATGTTAGTAAAAGGGTTTCATTTATATAAAGAATAAAAGTAAAGAGAAAGTCATACTTACTTGTGTCATACTTGGCAACTGTTGACTGGAACTGAATAAATATAATTTAAGCTCTTTAGGATGGAAAGTGTCTAAAAAAAATAAATAGTTTGACTACGTTAAAAAATATTAATTACCAGTGAAAAATTGCAAGTAGTACAAGTATCATAAAAATGATCACTATTAAATATATATTCTACATAAAAAAATTATTGAAAAATTTGAATTAGTATTATTTGGTATCGGTAATTACCAGTATTTTCATTAACAGGTGAAGGAGGATTACTGGACGGTTTTGAAGGATCATCATTGGGTGCAATACTTTCAATACTGCTAAAAAACTCTTCAGCTTCAGCTGCTTCTTCGGGTTCACCTGTATAAAATATTTAAAATTACGATAAATTGTAATAACTATTACAATTTTGTAAAACTACAATAGAAAAACTATTGAAATTATGTGGAGAAGGCTTCTTGAATTATCTAAACAGGGTGCGTAGCCAAATCTGTCAGCAAAAAATAAGCACATTTTAAATACTTTTTAAGCACTATATACATTGACAAAATGCAAAATAATTTTCAGACTTTACAAGATTATGATAAAATAACCAGTTTCTAACAAAGAACGCTTTTCTTGGTTATATTAGATACCATAAAAAGATCGAGAGATTTTTCGGATTGAAAAATGAGGGAGGAAAATGAAGCCTCGCAAAATGCAGCAGAGTTATACACGAGAGTGCTAAAATCTCACCGAACTCAGCTCAGTAGATGCACATGCGGACTCGCAAGTATTTCATAAAATATGCAAAATGATTGCAGCTTTCATACGCTATGGACCGAGGATAGGCTGAAATGAATTGTAGTTGAATGAATTATGAAAATCTTGAATAGAACAATGTGAAATCCACACTTTTGCATAATACGTGTCGAAAATCGNAATTTAATTCCCAAAAAAAGTGCCAATGCAAAATATATGTAAAAAATACAGTTTTAAATTGCTTCAAGTAATCTCACCGAACTCAGCTCAGTAGATGCACATGCGGACTTGCAAGTATTTCATAAAATATGCAAAATGATTGCAGCTTTCATACGCTATGGACCGACGATAGGCTGAAATGAATTGTAGTTGAATGAATTATGAAAATCTTGAATAGAACAATGTGAAATCCACACTTTTGCATAATACGTGTCTAAAATCGACATGGTAAAAAAAGCAAATCTCTTTTTCAAGAAGGGAATATCAAGCACTTTTTAAAAACACTCAATAAAAACGCACCTTTAAGGGCTTTTAAAATATGAAAATTGAAAATAAGAACCTTTAAGCACTTTTTAAAAACGCTATGCACCATGTTTAAGAGCAAGCAATAATTCTCAAATAACTTTGAGAGCATTTATGCATTTTTAATCAACATGAAGAAAAAACACCTTAAGTAAAATAAGTAAATAGTAATAAGATACATACATATAGATTTTTTTACAATAGAGATACAAAATTGATAAAAAATTAACTAACAGAAATTATGAATATCATCACAATTACCAAAAACATATTTTAAAATAAGGAATGCATTAAACACCTTATTTCAAACAACAAGTGCCGAACGTATTTGTAACAGCGAACATATGAAACAACAGAAAAAAATTTTACGACAGCATTTTAATTAAGAACCTAACAGGCAAGATAATTTTGAATAAACTTTAAGAAATACCTGAAAGGGATGTTGTTTCACTTCGAACATCTGGAGTAGAATTGATTAAATGGGACAAATAAAGCATTTTAAGTTTCATTTCAACATCAACACGGCATACTATGGCAAGAAATTGAAGAAATTCTAAAAAGCTCAGCATGTTATCTTGATTATCATCAATCAACTGAAAAAAATTAAAATATAAGCTATTTTTTAAAAAAAATTACATTAATTCCATATAGTTACTGTTAATAACTGTTAAAAAAGAAAGATCATACATCCAAAAATTGAAATAAAATATATGGGGTCAGTTCCTTTAAATGAAAATCAAAAAAGCAACACTGTCTACCATTAAAAACTCAAATTAGTTGGTCTTTTTTTACTCTATAAATGCATTATTTAAAATTTATTTTAAGTCCACCCTTTGCATTATTTAAAATTAAATATTGCAAAGGGGGGTGGTCATTATCCATATTTTAATTGGCAAACATCGTTTGTATGAATAGATACTTGAACAACAAATTTATAAATATTTGAATCTTTCAATTAATGATTAAAATAATTAAGATTCATAATATTTCCTCATCACAACTATGTCAGTTTAAAAGAACTTTTTTAAAACCAGTATGAAATAGTTCAACTTAAAAGTACTAAATAGTACTACTGCTCTTACTAATACGAAACTTTATCTCATACATGTTTGCAAGGAATAGTAGAATGTTCCTAAGTATGATCTATTTATTTTTAAAACCACCAAATTTAATTCCCAAAAAAAGTGCCAATGCAAAATATATGTAAAAAATACAGTTTTAAATTGCTTCAAGTAAAATAAATGATTCACAAAAGAACAATAATCAAAAAATAATTACTTTAAAAATTCGAGCACAGAGTACTTTGGCATTTTCTCCTCGACCCCAAGGTGGCAAGAGATTGAAAAAAATTCGAAAAAGATCATAATCTATCAGGCACTGCTCATAAAAAGGCATATTGGGATCATACTTCTCTTGACCATTAAAAACAACAGCTGGACTCCAATACAACTGGCGTAATTGTTCTTCCTAAGTATCAGTTTGACATGAATTAACATGAAATAGTCAAACTTACAAATGAAACATAATATCAAGGATATTTTTTTCATTAAAAGGCAATAAAAGAAACTATATTTTCTTCTATAAAACAACTGTAAAATTGTAACCTGAATAATAACAAATGTAAACTAATAAAAATATAACGATTTCAAGTAAAGTCATCTTAAAAATGTGTTCTTAAAGTATTACATAAGATGATTGACTAAAAATAAAGTTTGATGGCTCAAAAAAAATTTAGCCATGTAGTACCATTCTAAAGGTAACAAACTTATAATAATATCTAATAGAGGTAGTAAAATCAAACTGTGTCATAAATTATGTCTGATGCAAAAATTAAAAGAGAGAAAAAAAATATGGAGACAAAAAAGAAAAAATATATAAAGTTACTAAATATAGAAAATTGTGGAAAATTCTCTGATCTTTGCTGATAAATTTAAAAAATTTAAAAAAAAAAACGTTAATCATCCCTAGATATAAAAATTTATAAGAAATATCTAATAATTTAATGTATTTTAACATAAGCATATTACTTATATCTTTATAAAGTAAACACAATAAAATGATTATAATAATAAAAGAACTCACTTTAATAAAAGTATACACTTCGTTCACTTCTTCTTGAGAAAAAACTGATTTAATTAAACTATCATAGAAAACACTTCTAACTATATTCCGACGATTTGTATCTTCTAGCTCCTAAAACAAAGAATCACTTATGTGAAGTAAACACATTACATGAGTAATTTCTTTTTCTTGGGGAGGGATTTATGATACAATTGTAAAAAACATTCATAATAGTTTCATAAGTAAGTTTTAAACAACATTCATAAGTTTTAAACAACAAAATCTGGTAAAATAATAAAGGGATTATTCATTTACTACAAAAAAAATAAGAAAAAAAGAAAGAAGAAAATAAAGAAAAGTTAAAGAATAAATCTATTAAATGGATAATAAAGAAATGTCTGTAAAAAAAAACTATAAGGCTCCATTTATCCTTATTTCACTTACAAACAAAAGAAAGACTCTGTATGCAAAGAACAAATATATGAAGGTCTGTATATATTAAACTCCGTAGATAAAGATCTGTAAGCAGACTCTATATTCAAAGGAATCATTATTACATGAACTTACAATAGGCACAATAAGCAACAATTATGCAATATGTTGTAATTATAAAATAAATCTTGCAGAATGTACATTTTTTGTAAGTATATTATACAATATTTTTTGTTAAATTAAATTATTCTCTGGTAAACTATTTTGATTAATACAAATTTCTATTAAGTTATTTAAACATTCATATTTTTAGTTGACATCATTGTAAATACAAATATATTGAATATTAAAACATTAAGTGGATAAACATTTTGAATATTAAGACATTTTTGTTGCAATTTTTTATATCAACCGCTGTAAACTTATAGGCTACTTTTCAGTTAGCCATAAGCAAGCAAAAAGCAACCAAAAAACGTAGACCTTAGCCAACTGTTTTTAAATTTTATTTATTTTTTAACACATTAAAATAAAATAAAAATAATAAAAAATAATTAAAAAATAAAAACAGATTAATTTTTTGCAGATCGGCGAACTAAAAAGTACAACTTTCAGTTTAGTTAAAATTTTTTACACTTGGAAAAAAATGAAATGTCTTAAAATTCTTTGAATTTAGCTCTGAATAAAAATTGGCAATTAGTTTAAATGATAAAATTATCTCATTTATCATTGCATGAATCTGATTATGATTGTTTGAATGATATGTAGAAAAATAAAAACAAGTTTTAAATGTTTAAATATTAATTCCAAAATAGAGAACTAATGCAATTACTTTGAATGAGCAAAGATAAATCACTTTTTTTAAATTAAAAAGAAACTTAATAAAAAATAATTATTGAAACACATATGCAATAGAATAGGAAAAATAAAGTTTTACCTGAACTACACGTAATCTTTGGCGCATTCTAAGCTGCTCAATTGTATTATTTGTAATAAATCCATACTGAGCATAAGCTTCTTTAACTAACTTGTTAACATGGATTTTCTAAAGAACCAGACAAAAAAGTTACAATATGTGATACAAAATATCAATAATGATAAAAATAACAAAAAATCAAGTATGTACTTAAATAATATATATAAAAATAAATCATAATCAAATAAAGTCTTTAAATTTTTGAAGCTTAGTAATGCAAAGAAAATAATATTAAAAAGAGAAAAAATGTTGCCTATCATGACAAAATCGCAAAAAGCATTGAAATTTTGCCCACTTCTGAACTGAGGCAAAGAATATAATTTAGAAACAAAAAATCAGTTTAGAATAGAAAAAAATATGCAGTTATCATGGAAAGAAACAAGCTTGAAAAAGAAACATCTTGAAACAAGATGTTTTGACTAAAAGCTTTTTAAAACATCAAATAAATATGTTTAAAATTTTTTTATTTTTTTACTTAGATTGACAATTATCAAGTTTCTAGTTAGGCAGATTTGACTGCATTTAATGAGCTGCATTGATGCATTTTACTTAAGTTCCTTTTATAAAAGAACAATTTTCACAAAAGCAATTTTTATGTGAATTTACAGAGCCACAGACTAAATTAAAAACATGTAAATAAGTAAAAGAGAACATTGCTTTATCAAAACAAAATAATTGATGTCATTTAGTTTTTTCTTCATGTTTAACATACCCGTTTAGAAAATTCAGGAATGAAGTTTTGGTAGCTAATAAAAGACGAATTCTCCTCTTTAGAAACAACACTGCTTAAATATTCACTTAAAATAGTCATGGCTTCTCCATCATCATTTGATGCAAGAAGATCCTGTCTGTTCGCTTCCAAAACTTTAAGAGCGATTTGAAAAACAACCTACAGAAGAAATATAGCTAGTATAAGAATTTCTTTAAATAAAAATACTAATTTCAAGAATTTAATAAATTATATTATAATTTTCAAAAAATTCAATAATTAGAATAGTAAAAAGTGGAGCAATTCCAGAATGGTTGAAATTTACTAGTAACTTTTAAAATAATTGATAGTAACTCTTTCTTTCAACTTTAATACAGAAATAAACCAATTTAGTTTTATTATAAATTCAAAGTTGCCAATATATCAGTCTTCAGGAAACGAAATGCCCTGTCTCTACATCGAGACCAATAACTACAGTGCAGAACCCGTTATCCGGAAATCAGAAAACCGGAACGAAATTCGATACATTTTCCCGCTATTTTTTAAAAAAAAAAAATTTCCCTCATAAGATGTTAGGATTTTTCTTTCTTTTTTGAAAGATGTTCACCTTACCATCATTTTGGAAATAATCATTAGTGTATTACTTCATCGTTTTTTCTTCTTTTTAAGATTATTTCCACAAAAAAATTGTTTTTTAGTTGGGTTTAACAATAAAAAAACGGCTTTTTGTAGCGATTCAGAAAACCGGAAAAATCCGTTATCCGGAATAGCGATGGTCCCGATTGTTCCGGATAATCGGTTCCCTACTGTACTATGAAATGTGCTATGGCAGAATTTACAAAGGTTTTATAATAACAATAAAAGAATAATTAGGGTGATTGTGTTCTTATGAAGATTGTGAGTTTATGAATCATCCTATGAAGATTGTGTTGCAGACAGACAACTATATTATTTTTTTTCCAAAAAGCTTTAATTTCATTCGGGTTAGCAAAACTTGGACAGAATCAAGTCAAAGATTAGTATAATTTTAAACAATTTTTAACGCATTAATCTCAGTTAAATTAAATTAATTAGCAACGAATAATCATTGCTCGTAATGACATATAATTAATCAAATCAGTCTTGTTTCCCAAAAATCTTTACACTCTTAATTTTCAGAACTTTAAAAAAAATACACAAAATTAAAACAATTTTAAAGGAAAAATCAAAACTTTTTTTACTCATTTTTAACTGCATTTTTTCTTTTTCCTTTTATGATAACGGTTATGATATGATTTTTTAAGAATATAATAATAATATTTTATGTGAGTTGAAGTTTAATTTTAATATAATCATAGATTAAATTATGAATAGTAAGAGATAAAAAAAAAAGGCAGTTCACGTACTTTTGCACCATCATAGAAAAAACAATCAACTATATTAACAGCAGAATGAAAAGGAATGACACTGAAATAGAAAATTAAATTATAAATTAATCTCAATCAAAAGAAAAAAATAAGTAATTACATCAAACTATATGGTTTAAAAATAAGTTTTAATTTATTTTCAACCATAGCCAAATCCCTTACATCCTTATTCAGTTTGGGTTTCAGGTGTCTTATTTCGTTTTTATTTTGTAAACGAAAGAAAATAAGTGATTAGATCGAACTAGTTGGAGAACAAATAAGTTTTAAATCACACTGGATGAAAATCAAAACACCTCTATCATTATTAAGCTTGAGGTTTCATAATGTATTATTTTGTAACTGAATTTCGGCATCAACAACAAAATCAAGTACCATGTGAATTACAGTCATAAGAGATAGAAAGGAGACTTTCAGTCAAAAAGTACTCAATGGGAAATCTACCACCCACCATATTCTTCAAACATTGCTTACTCAGATTTTGACAACCACTTGTTTTAGATAATAATTCCTAGATTTACTGAGCAGTTTTTTTTTTTCCTTCTTTTTTTTTTTTTTTTTTTTTGTATCTTCACAAAACAACAAATTCCAAAGCATATGTAGATTAAGTTGCCTCTTAAGATCAGCAATCTATGCTGCCAGAAAATTAGGAAAAGTAGATTCTAACTATTGCCAATACATAAAGTTATCAATTTCTATCCATTTCTGTACAACAAAAACCCTATTTTCATAATGAATCAGAGGAAACCTATTTACAAACCAAAAATAAAATTAAAGCAAGTAACTAAAATATAAATTACCTTAGAAATATGGTTAAAAACCATGATAGAGATATCATAGATAAGACACCAAACGGCACCAGTTTTTTATGAATATCTGGCAGATGCTCACTAGTCAAATGTTCTAAAACTCCTAAAAATCAGACATACACGTTATAAACTCAGCAAAACCAACAAGTCTGTTTTTTAATGTTTTTTTTTTTTAAAAAAAAAACTCTAAGTGGCAAAATTAAATTTTCTTCCAACCCTGAAAGCAATCTTTATTTAGGAATGGATTGCTTTAGAGCATATTTATCTAAAAAAAAGGAAATAAATCAGACAGTAACATACTCAACATGAGTGAAAATAGCAACAACAACAAAAAAACACAGCTTTATCAAGCAATTTGAGTTTCATTTTAATTAATTATTTATATTTAATTTGCCTTTCCTCACATTTGATAAAGTTTTCAGACATTTTCAAATCGTGACTAGTTGTAACATGTGCTTTACTTCATTTTGCGTCTTGAGACTATTAATGATTCCTATTTATAGCTTTAAAACCTTTTTTTGTATTTATAGTTTTTTTGCGAGTCTCCTAGCTTGCTTCATTTCTGTTTTTTATGCTGCTTTGCACTTAATTTAGTTATTTTTTTTACATAAGAACATAAATATACATATTCAAAACAACATTAAAATAATACATGTTATGTTAAAGAAAAAAAAATATTATAAAATAAAAATTAATTCAAACAAATCTGTATAAGCAACACTCTTTAAATTAAAGAATTCTATGTATTATTTTTCAAAGAAATAATAGAAATTTTAAAAAAAATTGACTTTAACAGAATATCTTAATTTTACTTTTAAAAAAACTTTACTAATTGAAACCAGCATTTTTAACTGTTAACTCAAAGTTCAGATCTGCTACTTCCTGCGCTGTGGACATGTTTTTCTCAACTGAAAAATTTGATGAAATTTTTGTACGCTTGATTTTTGTCCATTGAGCTTGGTTTTAAAAAGATTAATAGAAAAAAAAATAAGCTTAATTCAATGCTAATGTGAATAATACTAATAAGAAATACCTTGATCTACTAAAGCTCCAACAACTTTTGTATTAAAATAATCAGGTAGCAACCTTTCACAAATAGCAACAAGCAACCAGAATGCTTCTTCTTCAGAAGCATAAATTAGCAAGACAGACGTTACAATATTCATAGCTTGGCAATAACCTGAATATAGATCAAAGAATATTATTTTTAATAATTAAAAATCTATAGTTATATAAATATTAAAATGTAATTATCTAAAGGAAAAATTCTAAGTATTTAATTAGTAAAATTGTTTTACATGAAGCATATTATATTTTAAATTAAATTGATGAAGAATTAGTAATCAAATTAAAAATCTGTTTAAAAATTTTAAATAGTTCTCACCAATGCTAGGATTCCTCCATGCATATGCAGTTAAAACTCTTCTAAGAACATCAATACCAACGTCAGACTGAAAAGCCTCATGTTCAGGTAGTGAACGGTGCAAATCTCGCTCTATTTCATCTGCTGCAATACTTTGCTTCCCCTGACTCTGATGCACTAGCCATTCATAATATCCAGGATAAAAAGCCAGCTGGTTTAAAGGGAGAAAGAATTTTTAATCTCAAATAAATTACCTAAAAAAATATTTTAAAAGAAACAGAACTAGGGTGCTGGATTGTTTCATTAACTATGTCATAGGCATTTTAAACAGGGACATGTTATAATATTTCAAAGAATCTGTAAATTTATAAAAATTAAATTTACTAATATAAGTAAGTAATTACAAGAGTTTTTATGGGCTAAAAAGAATACTAACATAAGATCAATATTTATAAAATCCTAATTAAACAACTAGTCCTGTACTGTTGCGAGTGTAGGAAGATAAACTGCTGGTCTTTAAAAGAAACATTTTCAAGAAAATTTATAGCTCTGTGAATGAAAATAATATACGGCGAATACTTTATAACAATGAGCTCTACAAAAAATAAAAAAGCCCACATCATCCAAATCATTATGGCATATCGTAAAAGAGGTCACTTGTAAAGACTAGAAATCCCCAATCCTGAAAGGAAACTGACTTTTGGTAAACCCTACGGTTGGCAACAGGAAAGGAGGATTGCCCAGCCATCGGGTGGCTGGACAATGTAGGAAAAGATCTTGGCTTGTTAGATGTTGGAGAACAGTGACCTTGTGACCTAGACAGTGACCGTGGAAGCTGCCTGGGATGGCATTGGTCTGTTCTAGGTCATAACATTGAAGAAGAATTACCTGCTACTCAAATTAATAAAACACCTGGTGTAATTGGTTTTAGCAGTATGAAATAAAAAGGCAAAACATATTTTGTTTATATTAGAAATTTTTGAAAATATTTTTTAAAACACACAAATAATTTAGATGCCTTTTGATAAAAAATATTAACGAAGCCTATATCCAATAGCTTGCTCTAGAAAAGTATTTAATATTCAGCGAAATTTTTGCAGTTTTCTTATTATAACAGAGATAATTTTCCATAATATTTAATGTTAAGATTAAAATGCAGACTGAAAATTTTAATTGATTAATTCAGATGTTTTATTTTTTCAAAACAATGAAATTAGCTTTAATATTACCTCATTTACAGCCCCAGAATACAACATCCACAATTCACCACGTAGTTGAACAGGTATACCTTTCAACACGAGCTCTCGATCTTTGACAGTATGATAACTTAAAATGCCTCTACAAAAAGAAAACATATTTTTTTTAAAAAAATGATAGTATAATTCTGGAAAATAGATTATTTATATTTGCATACTTATTAATTGTGTTGTAATATTAAAAAGCTATCTATATGATTGAGTATATAATTATAACTGGAAAAGATACAATAACAGTTATTTTAAACAAGCATACAATAATCTGACTGACCTGCCCTCAGTTATCAGGCTCTTATTTATCGTAATTTTGAATTTCTGTTTGACTCTTTTATTATCTTATTTCATTTTATGAGACAGTGCATTTAATATTGCACTAACCCTTAGTGAAATTTAAGTACTAAAAATTTCTTTTATCAGTTCACTAAAAAATCTTAAACATATATTTGTTTATTTATATATATTTTTTATATACTATTTTTCTTCCTCTTCTTTTTCCTCGGGAATACATTATAACAAACCATTAAATTCATTCAGTAGCAATCTTCAAAGACTGTTTAGTGGCACTGTTAAAAAATGTACATAATTCAGAAATCTTACCCCTTGAATGTATATAGTCTATTATGGAGATACTTGCTACTAAAAAAATCTCTAGGAATAGGTATTATTATGGATTCTTATTATTTAAGTTGGATGAAAGTAGTAAAATTGACATCAATATTTTACTCTTATCCATAATTATGAAACTGGTTTAGATTTATTTTACTTTTAAGCTTGCAGTTTTTCATTCTATTGTTCTTATTTCCTTTTATTTCTTTATTTACTTTATTTTTTAAATTTTCATTTATTTGTTTATTTCTATTTTATCTTATCTTACCTTTGAATCTTGACACCTGAGATTTCCTGATGTCAAGACCTCTTGAGGTCTTTATTTTTGAGAGGAAAACGAATAGTCCTCCAGTGGGTGCCAGCCTATTGTGGTGTTTGGGGCAATAAGCAGGCAGATTTACTTGCCAAAAAAGGTGCCAATTTGCTACAATAACCAAATACAGCAACTTCCTTTTAGAAAATCAAACTGTCCCTAAAACCAACTCATTGCGAGACCTTCAGACTCGCACAGCTTTGAAAAGTTTAATTCCTGACAACCCAAGACGTGATGCAGTTGCGGCCTTCCGCTTATATACAGGCCACGATTGTCATTCTGCTCACTTATACCGCATACGCCTTTCCACCATGCCTTTCTGTCCACTTTGTAAATCTGGAGAGAAATTGGGCAGGGATCACCTGCTTCTATGTGGGGCCCTTCATGGACACACTGAGTCCTCAAGATATTGGGAAGCAAGAGAACTTTTAAGGCATTGACTTCGGTCTTCTTTCTTTGTTATCCTACGTACATTTGTATTCGTTATTTATTCCATCTTTCTATTTGTACTTTTTTGCCTTACCATTGGAAATAAAAAAGAATAAAAAACCTTTGAATCTTTTTCTTATCTTTTTTATTATCTTACCATTGATCTTATCTTATTGTTGTGTTATGTTATTGATATTTTCTTAATTTTTCAGAGAATCCAGTAGAAAACTTCAATATTTCTAACTGTATTAATTTCTTCTTAAAGTTAGAAGGGTAATCGAATTTACAGCAATAAGGAATAAAATATTTGTTTTCAAGAAATCTGTAAAAAAATATATATACAAGGAATAAGAACCATAAATAGTCATTGTGTCAAAACCATTGTTGCCAACCAAGGGACACAAAGCTTTAGAAGCCAGTTTTAAATTTCTTCACATTTTAAGAAGTTTATCATTTAAAGGCTAATTTTTTATTTAATAATAATTCACGATTTTTACATCTAATCGTTTAATTCTTCTACCTTAAATGAACCCAGTGAATTCTCAATTTTTAAATATATATTTTCTATGAATTTTTATTTTGACGGAAAAGTGACAAAAATATTGTCAATGCAGCAATGGAAAATATTTTATATTGACACGAAATGTTTATTTTTAAAAGTTCTGGTTTTTACACAAATTCAAATAATTTGTAATAAAAAGAGAAGTAGAGAATATTTCCACTCTTTTCTCAAGATGGAAACGATTGAACTTTTCAGATTATTTTTTGAACAGCAGCGACATCAAAACAGCAAACTCCAAAAGCTACGTTTTAGAGATGTGATCCAAGTACTAATTTGTTACCTCATCCATATTCTGATGAAAAAGCTTGTCTATAGAATTTAAACAATTGCCAACACTTAACTGTAATTTAACTTAAACTTTTAGAGCCTTAAGATAATTTTTAGCAGAATATTACATTTTGAAGGCTTGAAAAGTTATTATAAATGTTGTTTTGAAAAATATTTAGATTTCTAAAGACATAAAGAAACCTTAAATGAAAAAAAAGCAAATTTTTTCTCACCTTCCATATTCAGAAAAGTGGTGATTCCATAGTTCAACCTTTTTCATTTCCTCGGGGGTTTCGATAACAGACTCTGGGCGGAACGATTTATACAAGGCATCTTGAATATTCCAATGACGCTTGCTACCTACAATTGTTAGAAAAAGTATTATGTACTTTTAAAATTAATAATTTTATAACCATCAGACCCATTTTAATTTGATATAACTTGAGCTATAAAACAAAAATCATCAAAATAACTTTCAGAAATTAGATGAATCTAAAAATGTGACTTTATAGATATTAAAGTGTTTTGTTAATGATGTTAATTTTGTAGTTGATGTATCAGATTCTTTATGTGAAAGACTCATACAACAAAGCATAAAATTACTTTGGAATTCACTTTTATTAAAATTTAAAATAAGTTTAAATACGTTTGAAACAATAAAACTGTTTCCATAAAAAATACATCCTATATTTAGTCACATTAAATAAATAAAAAGTATCAATCATTACACAATTAACAAAAAAGCTGAAGTCTGCAAGCATCGCTTTAGAAAAACACATAGGATCTTAATAAAATAAGAATTAAAAATACAAACCACTTGAAGATGAATCAATGCTTCCATTTTCAGAATTTCTGTTTTCATAACTGGGGGAAAAAATCAAAAATAAGCAATTCAGTATTCAAATGAAACACTAATCAAATTCCTAAAAAAATTTAAAAGGAAAAATAAACAATACATTAAAACAAGCCAAAAATATTCTATTAATCCAAAGCATTGTCATTTTAATACTTTTTATTTTCTTTAGTGGTCTATATTTTTTAGTTGTTAGAAATTATTTGCTACAAAAATTGTAGCTTTCAATGAAAGAAACCCTTAACTATCTTTTTTTCTAAACAAAAACATTCCTTTTTTTGTGCTTTTTAAACCTTCCAATTAATATATCTTGATTAATGTTGTAACTCATAAGTGCAAGATATTTTTTTTCCTTTTCCATACTTTATCATTGAAATATTTATTTTACATGTTCACCTTTTTTTAGTAGTTAAACTTTTTATGTAAACATGCACTTTAATTACATGAAATTTTATTTTTAGCTGACAAAAAATCCTCCTTCAATTACATGTAAGTTAAAGCCTTCTAGAGTTAAATCCTGATCATCCTACATCTTTGGGACCAGGGATAAGTCAAAAAATCAAAATCATCCAACAATCTGGGGACATTTAGAAGTGGGATAAGTGAGGTCAGATAAACATTAAAAGATGAGTAAAATTAATTAATATAAGTAGTAGCAGTAATAATTGCTTAAAAAACATTAGCATAAATAACATTACAATATCAAGAAAAAGAAATATTGACATAATTTCTGTTTTGTTCTTCGATTAGCCAAACCAAATTATTTGGATTAGTTACCACCATAATTGGGTAACATCAGTTGTAATAATGATGGAACATGTTTGAGATACTTTTAATGCGCTCTGGAAGGGATGTCAGATAAATGAAGTGCCGTATGATTGAGCTTTAGATAATAGGGGTTTTACTATGCTCTTATTGAAAGTCAAATCAAACTTATAACTTTTACAGCAAGCAGCAGTTCAAGAATAATTTGTCCTTTGCAAGTGAATGAAAATAATAACTAGAAAAAAAGTGTCCAAAATCTAGAAAAGATTTTAAATAAATTTAAACAAACTTACACATGATTTACATCAGGTACTTTAGCTAAAAGTTCTGAAACCTTTTGAACAACAAATTCTAAGTCTTCCAAGTCAGAGAATACAAAATTTTTCTATATATAAAAACAGAAAATAAATTGAATATACGAAAAAGAAGAATGTCTTAGAACAATATAAAAAATGCCGATTAGCAACAAAAATAGTGAAAGTAAAAAATACCCAATAAGCAACAATTATATACAAAATAAAAATTAAGTGATTCATGAGTTCAGATAAAGAATGTATATATGTTCAGCGTTAAATTTATTTATTTATGTACGAATCTTAAACACTGAATTTGATATAAACCAAACTTTAAAAAAGAGGTAGTAAAGCTCTTTCAGAAGAGTGCGACTTTTGGAAGAAAAATTAGCATGCAATATCACTTACAACTTTCTCAACATAAAAAAATAATAAATAAAAAAGTAAAAAAATGCTAAAGGCTTAATTATGTGATTCTTACTCAAACAGCATTTTTTCATATAAGTTTAAGTAGTAGAGATTAATATATAATAATGTAACAAAACAAAAACTTTTTTAAAGATTCAATCAGTTATGCATAAAATAAAGATTATGCAGAAAATAAAGATAGATTAGAGTATGCATAATAACTTGAAAATTACTAAATAGAAAGACTAAGAGGCATTTGAATACGTAATTTTTTCAGCAAAGTCATCATATAAAGATACTAACAAAATTATGTATTTTAGGTACATATTAGTTAATTTAAGAAGATATTTTGATTTATATTCATAATAGAAAACACCTGTTCACAAACATATGTTAATCCAAATGTACTATAATATCTAATAGCTAAATTGTGTAAATTTGGAAAATTTACATGGTTACGTTGAATTGTTGTACTAACGACTGCTACTCTTCTGATGCTGATCTACAGCCAAAATCAGATGAGATATTTAATATGCAAGATCTTTATTATAAGAACCAAGTCATTTATTATACAATCTTCTTAAAGATACTCACAAAAATAGTGATTATTTATTATAATTTAGATGCTTATCAATTAATTTAGGAAGATTAAATACATTCATGATAAAAAAAAACATTTGCTTAAATCATATGTTGATTAAAATCTATAAAATCTGAGAGACAAATTGTGCAAAGATTTCTGCACTGATATATTCAGAAGCGGTTGAATAAGAATTTTATGAAACAAAGTTCCTGAAAACACAGTAGGGTAGGCATGCTCATTCAAGATTTAAAAAGGAAAATAAAGGTATTAAAGTGTATTTTAAAAAGGCTGATGATTTAAATGTTTTTTTTAAAAAATTGGTGTACTTAAATTTTTATTATAATTTATTTATTATTTTTTTAATAAATATTTTGTTTATTAATGTAACATTATCATATATATTACTCTTTACTTTGACATTACTTGATTTAAAAAAAAATTCAACCATTTATTGCTTATTTTTTTTAATTAAAAAATCAATTATCTGTTGATTTATTTTTTTCCCATGTTAAATTATTAAAATTTCATTGTATTTTTATAAAAAAATATATTACTCATCTTCTGATAATAAAAAAAAATTAAAAAATTTTGTATGCATAAGGTAACAAAATACAAAATACATAGCTTTATTTACAGTACACTTGTTATTGACATTTCCATCCAGTAAAATATATATAAAACGTTTTATTCATATTATTCATAAATTAACTTTATAACAATCTAAGCAGAGTGGTAAACGTGGTTTCTATTTTACAATTTAATATTTTGATCAATATTAGAAAAATATTTCAGAAATGATTTACTTAAAATTTTCTGTTGACAATGATACAGAAATTTGCAATAAATTAACATAAATATTTTAACAGTAAATATTTTCGATGATAAATCAGTTGAAGCTGTAGTTAAAAAATGGCAAAGCAATAAAAAAAGGCAACAAACAGTTTTGATAAACTAAAAGAAATTACATTTCTAATAAAAATACTGTAATTTCTAATACAATCTTCGCTTTTCATCATATCAAAGTCTTTGTCATATTAGCAAAATTTAACCAATACAATACATAAAAAATATTTGATACCTTGTCCTTGGTGGTGATAAGCAATGCATTTCTAATAGAACCCTGATTTACAACTTTTTCAACTATAGACATTTCTCTCATGGGTATTATTAAAGATACAAGATATCTCACCTAAAAGAGAAAGCACGACATTGATTATACTTATTTAAAACACAATCAAATTATCATTAAAAATTTTAATCAACAGCATATCAATTAATCAAAAAAAGTATTCTTATTATATAAAAAGAAATATATTACTCAGTGAAAATAAAATACACAAAAAAAGTCTTATATTTGGCATTTGTTAACTGAATACCTGAATGAATGATATTCATTTATAAGCTATGAGATAATAACAAATTACAGAAAAGGGTTTCTTTTCTTTTATTACTCATTCACAAGCTTACAATTTGAAAAATCTACAAATTCCTAACACTCATTTAATAAGCTTCTGTCATAGTGTTCACACGCTATAGATCTTAAATTAATGCCTATAAATAGTTTTACTAAGATTTCTTTTCGGTTGTTTGTTGCTGAATGTACCTGGAACCTTCTTCCACTCCAAACACACTCAAAAACATTTCTTTATTATGGGAGTCCCTAACCTTTTTGTGCCAAAGAACACATTCTTAAACCTAAAAAGTGCTTAACTAGGTATTATCTTAAAAAACCCCAATAACCCCCCCCCCCAAACAAAATTAGGTTTTTCTTAAACCCTGCTGAAAATACACATATCTGGTGCATAAATAAGTAAATTAGTAGGATCATAAAAAGTAGCATTGAGTAAATAAAGTTTCAAGAACAAAAATAACTTACATTTTCTCATAAACAGAATATTTCAAAAACAAATGTTAGAAACTTCAACTTTTACTTACTTCACTTTCAAAACAAATGTAGCTGTTTGACAAAAACATCTTTCCCCAGACATGCTGCTTATTGTAAGGTGTCCAGAGAGAACATTCAGTGCTGCCATCTAATTTCTCTTCTAGGGGTAACCGAAAATTTGATCTGGAAATTTAAATCCCACAAATTAACAAAAATGTAGGATCACTCCTTCGTAGTTCAAAAGAAAATGTTATAGGAAAAATTGATAGCACCATCAGTTCATGCATAATTTTAATAATTTCAAAAATATTTATGAATTTTATAAATAAATTCATTTGTTGTTGTTTTCGTGTCCATGGATCTTCAGATCACATCAAAGGTCTGGACTATTGCGGCTGCCAGCTTCAGCGCCTCTTGACAATAAATTCATTTAAAACATTCTAATGAACTTTTCAGAAAGAAAAAAAAATTCCACATTAAAATCTCTTTAAAATAATTAATAATTAAAGTAAATATACAAATATTTTTTTTAATGTCCTGAATTTTATTCCGAAATAACTTGCTAAAATTAAATAGAACTGACAATACAAATTAGTATTTATTATACCGCTCAATATCTGACAACATACAGACATAAAAAGTTAAAAGTTGCAGGTGTAGTTGCAGAAACAGTGTCACACGAGGTAAAAATCTGATGACAATGAATAATCTTTAAAATTATAATTAAGATCATATTATTACCTGTAAGCTTCACTGTGAGCACGAGCATCCAAGTCCCTTTTTAAATAAGAAGGTTTTTTTGGCACATTTTTACTCAGTTTATTGACTAAATCTGTATCTGCCTCAAAATTTTCTTCTGAAATTAATCTAAAATAGAAAGATATTTCAAATTAATATGAGTAAATCTCTCTTAGGAACTTCACTTACTAAAAAAAAAGAGTATTAAATAAAATTTTATCTAAGTACAAAAGTTATTATATGATCACAAATCAAAATTTGGCTCTTCTGTGTTATAAGGCTTAAAAAGAAAATTAAAAAAAGTACACATTTTATGATGGCAACATAGCAGTAACAGTGACTAAGTATTATTATTACATCATTATAGTCTTTCTTTTTACTTTTTAATTTATTAATATATTTTGATGAGTAATCATTATTGCTATATTATTGTACCATAGAGTAATTTGCTTAGTTGTAAAACTATTAATTTAACTATAATTTACTGTTATTCTTTTTAATTTATATCAAAATATATTTCAATGAGTAAGCAGAATAGATATACACAATATAGAATTTAAATAAGTGGAATTATTTTATTAATTAATAGTAATAAATTAGAAACAGCAATTAATTTATATAAATATATCGAATATTAATTTATATATATATTTATATCAAATATTTTCTGTATATCTATCGATAAATTAAGTAAAAGCCACTTCATTATTGTAATATTGACAGGTCATCAATTTTCAAGCCATAATCTTATTCCGTTTAAATATATAATTGTACAAACTTAGGGGCAAATTATGCAAATTAGGACTTACAGTTTTAACAATGTTTTTTATGAATTTTAAAAACCCCATAACACAGAAGTACTCAACATTTTAACTTTTAGATTCCAAATTTTTTTCCAAATTTAAACAAAAAAAATTATTACTTTTTCATGGCAATGTTTGCTAACTGTTGCATAAGAGTAAATGTTTCATCTAACTTTAAGAACATGGAGAAATGGAACTGGAAAAAAAACATTTAAATAAGAATTAATCAAATAAAACTTTAATTTGAGTTAAACATATCAGCTTTAGGTTTTAATGCTCAATTTAATCCAACTAAATAATGTAACTATAATTTCCATACATTTAAACTTCTTTGCACCCATGACAAATAATAATTAAATTTACTGTAAAACATTTTGCAGTTCCAGTTAGATTTTTGAAAGTTCTAAATCAGACCTTTTCTCTAATCTTTTCTAATCTAAAAATGAATGATTATACAATGCCAAATGTTCGCATCAGTATCTGAAAGATTTGATACCAAAAAATAACTGAGTTGACTAACAGAAAATCTACTTCATGTAATGAACAAGATAGTATTTATTTTAATTCAAATTTAACAATAATGAGAATAGAAAATTTTCAATTCCAGTTATATTTTTTAAAGTTCTAAATCAGATCTAATCTTTAATTTTAAATTAATGATTAATTAATCTTTAAATTAAAAATCTTTCTAATCTTTAAATTAAAAATTAATGATTATACAATGCAAACGTTTGCACCAGTATCTGAAAAAATTGATACCAAAAAATGGCTGAGTTGCCTAACATAATATCTACTTCATGCAATGAACAAGACAGTATTTATTTTAATGCAAACTTAACAATAATGAGAATAGAAAAGCAGAAATTATAATCGCCTGTTTTGGGTGATAATATAAAAGTGAATGAAAACCTCTGTTTACCAGAAAACTAAAGCACTTTCAGTACACACTTATTTCATTGGAAGGAAAAACTCTCTTCCCTATACATATCTATACCTGACCATTCTACATGCTATTAAATCCGTAACACAATCTACCTTAAATAACTAGGCATTTAAAAATAACTAGTCGCTTAAAAGAAGTTGAAAAAGAACCTGGCCATATGACCCTTCAGAAAAAATTATTACTAATAAAAATTGTCATTAGTCATTTCTGTATAGACTCCCTGCTCAAAGGCTCTAACTCACTTTTCATAAATTTTGATGAATTACCAAGTAATTTTGGTTCAAATAGTTCATGAGTCTGATAACTGAAGAAATATTAATGTTATGATAAATAACTAATTTGATGATTAACCAGAGAGTTCCTACCAAACGGGCATTGTATTAAGAAAGATGGAATTTTGTCTCCCATTAAATATAATTATAAATACTTATATTTCTATTGATTTTTCTTAAATGAATCAATGAAAACAAAAATTAATGATTTAAGATACAATAATTAATGTAATATTTTCTCGCGGCATATGAATGCCTTAAAATTACTATCTAATGTGATAAATGTAAAACAAAGACATCATTTAAAATAATCTCACTTTCAATAAACAGGAAAGTACATTACCTTTTTAGTTCTTGTAAGAACACTTATACTGTCTGGAAAAACTAAAGAATCATTCTTCTCAATTTGCTGTAAGGACAATAACAGATTAGGAATGTAATAAACATACATAGAAATAAAAAAACTTAAATGAATGCATTTTTTTTTCTTTTTTACAAATATAAGACAATTTTGTGTGTAACAAATTTAAAAATTAACATTATTTTCTTCCCAAAAACTGCTTTTTATAAAATGAAAAAGAAAAAAAAAACTTTATATACTATACACTACAAATATCATTGTTTTTAAACTTTTATAAAGATAAATCATATTTTTCTAATAAATCAACTTTTAGAAAACATACCATTTATAAAATATTTAATTTATTTTAGAATAATGAGATATTAACAATAAATAATATTGATAATAATAAAAGTTTTAAGTATAGATAAATTAATTACTACATAAAAATAAAGCTATTTAATTAAATATGAAAGTATTGAGTTGCAAAACTGACTGTATGAATGTTATTACAGCACACAAAATTTATAACAAATAAATAATGAATGATTAAGATTAAACTACTTTTGAAAATATAATCAGACCTGTTCTTATTCTTTAAAATAAAATAAAAATTGTAAAAATATTAAATTTCAATTCAAAATAAGTATAAAATACAAAGCATAAGAAACATTTCTTACAGTAACATCCACCCATCTCACAACTAACTTAACTTCTTTACCAAACAGCTGAGAATGAAAGCACATGTGATTTACACTAAGATAAAGCCATCCCTGACATGGTAATTTTTTCTTCCAAAAGCAGCAAGAATAATCTAAAGAAATTAGAATTGTAAGTAAATCCATAGATATATTTTGTTATCATAATGGAAAATAATAGTCTACTAAAACAGAAACACATATTGATTAAATCAGATTGAAAGAAACACGCCACCCAGCGGTTCTGCATGTTTAAAGAGGTTCTGGACGTTGAAAGTGGTTTTGCATGTTGAAAGTGGTTTTGCACGTTGAAAGTCATATATAAATCATCCTTGATGGTAATGTACAGAAAAACTCACTTCATTTTCTACCTATAAATATTCTTGCACATAAAGCCTCTGATTTTTTGATTGGAGGAGAAAATTAGGCAGAACCACAGTTATGTATAGATAAAAAAAAAATAATGGAAGCAGTAAAAATGAAAATGTCAAAACTGCCAGTAAGTTAACTTTAGTAAATGAATAGTAAAAATTAGGAAAAGAAAAAATTAAAAAGTTGCAGCTGGATAAATTAATAAATCTTTAAAAAATAGGTCTACTTATACAGTGCTTAGGGTAATATAATAATAAGAAACATTTTCAAATTGTGCAAGAGACCATTTTAAGAGCTTTTTTTGATGAAAAACACAATTTCCATGTAGTGAATAAGCTGTTGTGTAGCTATAAAGTTCAAATTCCATAAATTTTAGTAATATTTGCTTGAAATTTGTATGAAAACAATCCAAAGGATTAGTCTGGTTTAAAAATAGCAACATTGGAAAAGGATAATTACATTAACATAAGGTTAAAAGTAAAGTCCTACATTTGCTAAAATTAATATATATGTTTTTAAATGAACAAATGGTGTTTCCATAATTTTCAGCTATAGTAATTTTTTTTTAAACTTTATTAAAACTATCCAATTTTTGAAAAGATTGGAAATTGAATATTTAGAAAACTAAAAATTGAGCATGAGCTTAAACTGAAATAGTACATACATTCCAAAACTTTTACACATACATTACAAAATTTTCAAAATAATGTTTCTCAATATTTATTATATGAAGACCAATTATAATATATCTCCTTTAGCAATTTTTAAAAGTGATATTAATAATTATGTAAAAAAACAAAACAATTTCAATATATCACTTACAATTTATCATATCTTTTTAGACATATGAAAACTAAATTATATAAATTGTATGAAAACAAAAGAACAGCAATACACAACTTACAGTTGACTAATTTTTCTTCCTTGGGCATATTGAAAAGACGAGAGAACTTTAAAGATGATACTTTATATTGCATGCTATCAGGATCTTGAGTACTATCATATGACTTCTGAGCAACTAAACTTTCAATTTTACAAGCAACAAAATTTCTCATCTCCTCTTCATTATCAAATGCCTCTGTAAAAAGAAAGATCCAGTTATAGGGATAACTATTTCAATAGGAGATTGTAGAAAAATTGTAAAACACTTTTCTATTTCATCTAATAGATAGAATTCAAGACATTTAACAGTACGTTAATTATTCAAATAACATCAAACAAAATGTACATTATATGTGCAAGCAAGAAACAACTATTTAAATGTCATTAAGTAGATAAAATAAAATTATAAAAAATATTATGTCAGAGAATTTCATGCAAATTTCACAAACCTAGAGTAGGAATGACATTTTTTTCTAACCATTCCCAATTGTCATTAATTTCACTTTTAGAAAATCCACTGGCAACAGAAACTGCAAATAATAATAATAACAAATAAATAAATGGACATAAAAAAAAATAATAACTTACAAATAAGAAATCACTTTACTTACGAGGCGACTTATCAGAGGATGAAGAATGAAGGAGTATCCTATATGGCAAAGGCTGTAATAACGAATCAATTACTATTAAAAGTTACTTTTGATTATAGTTATTGTAAATTTAGCTTTTTTAATTTAAAATATCCCTAGTTGACCAGCTTCTTTTTATGCATAGTAACCTTGTTCCGGCTAATATTAATCCTTAGTAGAAATATTTTAACTATTAGATTTTGCCAATTTACCAGTTTCTTCTTATGTTCATTAATGAAAAAGAGAGATGTATACAGAAGAAAATCGCAAACAAACTTTCTCAGATACTTCAAGATTTGAGAGTTAAATTAAAAAACACTAATAATAAATTCAAATAAAATAACTTACGTACCTGTAATGCAATTTAAAACATTTTTAATAATAATGATAATATGGATAAAATAGTAATGTAATTAAAAAAAATTTCTTACATATAAAAGTATTCTAAATTTATTTAAACATTTAAGAATAAAGGAGACAATGTTGACACTTAAATTGAACAAGATGCTAGTCAAATGTATACCTTAAACATAAAAACGATAATACAATGTTAGCTATGAATTCAGGAAATGCCTACTTAAATTGGTAAAAATTCCAGCTTAAAATATTTCAAAGTTAAATGTGGCCATTTGAAAATGTATAACTGTTTTAACTGAGGAGGAAATACAGAACATAATTTCTTATTTCTTTAACTGCCAACCTAAAATTAAATACTTCCTTCCTTGGTTTTTTCCACGTTATTCAATAGAGATATTATGCTTGGCAGGGAAATTTTTATACTATTTCATTCAAGTAACAAATCAGGTTAAAAGTAAAGAGTTTGACAAAATAATAGTTAATGTTAATACAAATCAAAACATTTTCATAACTTTTTCCCAAAGAGCAGATTTACATCTTATGCTCCACAATAAGATTTTTGATAATTAGAAGTTTCTGTGAGACGCCCGATGGCTGAGCGGTACCGCTTCGCGCTGTCGTGCCACAGGTCCTTGGTTCGATCCTTGGGCCGGGCAAGGCCGACTCAGCCTTTCATCCCTTCAGTGGGTCGATAAAATGAGTACCAAGCATGCTTGGGAACTAACACTGGGGGTTCCGCGTTCGGCTGACCACCTGACCGGAACATATGCTCCTGCACCCCAGAGCCCAAGGTCAAGAAAACTGAGATGGGCACAGTCGGCCTTGGCCCTCTTAATGGGCTGTCGCGCCACTGAGTTAGTTTTTTTTTTAGTTTTTTAGAAGTTTCTGTGGGTATTATCAAAAATAACTATTCATATTATTCTTATTATAAATTAAATAATAATTAAATGCTTACATAGAGAAACAAAAACTATTAACAACTTATACTGCAACTTGTACATAAACAGTTCTGCTACAAAGAAAAATGGTTTGGTGCGAACTTAAATTGTTCTACAACCTTCATTGCAATTGTGAGCCCTTTTTTGCTGTCTTATATTTTCAAAACCCAGTTAAAGAATACTAATAATTGACAACTTATTTATTATGCAAGCTTTGTAATTTACAGTAATGTTTAAACTCAAGTAAAAAAAATTAATAAAAATAGTCCCTTTCAATGATACTTATTCAGGAAATTTCTTATAATTATTTTATTCATTTGCTTCTAGAAAAATATTTTGTCAGAACATAGTAAATAAACACTTAGTTATTTCTTTAAGGTACCGTATTTATTCACAAAAAGCCGTATGAGGTTAAAAGCCAACCTGAATCTTTCGAAAATATTAAATTTTTTTATAATGTTTCCTAAAAACCTAAGATTAATATAAAGTGTTAAATAATGAAATTAATGGAGTTCAATACTTTTGTGTCAAACACACTGTCGAATGTGCCAACGAATAATGATGCAAGACCTCTAGTGCCATAACCTTTCCTTTGTTGAAGCACAAAATATGTGTTGGCTCTTTCACAGACCCTGAGAAATATAAAAAAAATTGCTTTGTTAAAATAAAAAATTATAAGTTAAAAAGAGCACTTACAAAAAACGCAAGACATAAATAAAATTAAATTGTAACAATATGATGAAATATAAAATGTAACTAATCCGAAGTTACATGATACTTTTCTTTTTTTTATGCTAGATTAGGGGTGCTCANCCACCAACAATTGCTTTCAATATGTCGGTCTAAACACTTTGGCATGCGGCCCTTCATTGGTCAATCTGCTGTGCATGTGGCCCTTCACTGAAAAAGGTTGTGCACCCCTATGCTAGATGTAGATAAATCTGTGTTATATAAGAAAATAAAATATTGAAAAGAATAGTCAAAGATACAAAATAAAAGGTTTAATGACTATCAGATCCTTACAAAAAAATATGTTGTTTCAACTAACTAAATATTTGTAATACATTTAACTTTGCAAAAAGATATTTGTATATCAAAACATCAAATGTAATAAAGAACAGATTAAAATTTCGCAGTTAACAACCTTAACCAAATAGATAAAGCTGATACCTAAATTAATCTTCCTCAATTAACTGATAAAGGCAGAAATTTTATAAGTTCTATAGGACAAATATCTTCACTAAAGAGCAGGATATATTTTTCAGAATATTATAGAAAATTATGCTAATCAAATTTAGCAATTTCCCTAGAAGGGGAATTTCTGCATTGGTGGCTGCACCAATATGGCCAGCAAGTTTTGGTGACAACTGGGCAGTGCCATGCAAGAAACTAAAGAATACAACCTAGTCAAAAGCAAATGCATCAGATACAGTTGTTATAAACTTGACTTGTCACTATATGTTTCTTTATTTCATTGCAATTACAAAAACAAGACAGTGACACATTAATGAACACACCTATAGCAAATAGGTACTAATATTGATACTCCAGTCTAGATATAATGCATTCAAGCAATTTCAAAAGTTATCTGGAAGAAAATAGTAATCAATATGGAAGAATAAAAATTAGTAATCAAGTTTTATACATTGCAGCACAAACTATCAATTCTCAAATTAACAATTCTTCAAAAATTATACTTAACGGCAGTTCTTGAGTCTTTTTGAGAAAAATACCTTGTAGGAAAGATTAGAGACTATTCCTGAAGAAGATAATTTTTTCAATATACAGCCCAGATAGGACATATTTTGACAACTTTAGAACAATAAAAAACAGTCTTAGAGTAGCTATTAAATTAGAAAACTTAAATATGCAAATAAAACTATTTAAAAATAATTTAATTAATAACTTTTTTTACTAGCCTTTATGGTCAGGCAATTCAGTAATTTGTGATGAACAAACATATAAAGGATTTCACGCGATTATAAAATAGATTTTAAAAACATTTCTCTTGAATTGGATAAAATCAAATGTGTAAATATAAAAAAAAACATTTAAAAAAATTTTAATTAGAAAAGAAAACGACAATATGTAATGTTTCTCCCTTATTATATGTTCATATAAAACGAAAAGAAAAACTTTGACTGCAAATATGGTATTATAATCATTCGATAAATATTAGATAGAACATATTTCCATCTCACCACAAAGACTTCGCTAAAGATACTTCCTGTGGTCTTACCCACATCGTTTGTTTTTCATTACTGAAAATTAAAAGATATAATAATACTTTTAACTCGTGACACTCAGAAAACTTTATATGTTTACATTAATGTTTACAAATTTCTACGACGACTCAGTGTTGCCAGAACTTAAGATTAAAAAGTAGCGAATGGGAGCTCCAAAAGTAGCGGATTCGAACATTTTGTAGCCCAAAAATAAATCATANAAAAATAATAAATAAATATATTTAATGTTAGTTTTTACTGATAATCTTTTGTGCGTCGAACAAAGAGAAGTACAGAAGCTGGCACCACTTTAGTAGGTTGAAATAATAATGACTTCTTCCATTGATGCTGCCATCTAGTGAGATATATTGGACATAAGAGTTTCTCGCTTTTCCTTTAAGGAATGTCATAAATTAAAATTTGCATTTTGTGAATCACAAACTGTCACGCTCACATGTTATAAAAATATTTATATTTTTTTTATTAAAAGAAGACGGAACAACAAGGGAAAGACCTGAAACATATTAATTAATTAGTGCATATACAATATTTAAAGTTACTAGATCAAACGTGAAGTGTACTTTCTCTGAATAAACATATCATTTTATTTTTTGTTGTTGTTATTTTTGTCATTTGTATTTTGTTTTGTTATATTATGAAAATCGAAAAGAAATAACTTTTAGTTACTATTTCCTTTTTTTAATAATAGTCAACAATATTTTGAATTTTAAGCTATCCAATTTTTTACATTATTTTGAAGAATATAATTTTACATAGCAAAATAAAAAATTTGAGCGAAATTGGTTGAGCATGAGAAATCAAATATTAAATGTAAGACATTTTCAGAATTTGATTTTTCTGGAACTGTTCAACTCATTTCGCACAAATTCGGTATATTGCCATGTAAAATAATTTTTTTAAATTATATTAAAGAAAACTTCCTACCTTTTTCGACTATTATTTTAAAAAAAAAAAACATTAACTAAAAATTTTTTTTTTCATTTAATCTTTGAACTAACGAATTTCATAATTGGGTGCAAAATATTTTCAATTTGCTTAAAATGTTATCAAGACATGGTGAAATATGCAAAAAGTTATACTAACATTAAGGGGTTCTAACTTTGCTCTGGCCAAACAATGGGACCGGACCATATTTCCCAGATTGAGACTATCCCCTAAACTTTGGGAATTGGAGATCTTAATCCATTGTAAAAAGGTATGTTTATTCAGAAAGAGTGCGTTTGTCTGATTTCCGAACTTAAAATATTGTCTGCACTACTTAATTAGAACATTTCATGTCACTTTCTCAAATTATTGAGATTGAGTCAATCCTAAACCTAATTGTCCCAAAATATATTTTTAATAAAAGTGTAATATACATAAACTATCAAGGCTTGTAAATAGTGATATGTCAGCTTTTCCCACATTGCTTAAAACAAAATAAGATTTTACAGCTTTCATTCGTTTTTAATTATTACCCGGAAGATTATAGAAAAATCAGATCCATTATAATAAACTTTATTTATTATTTAACAGTATAATTGTTTGAAATAAAATTCCCGTAAAATCTAAAAGAAATTTTTTTTTTCTTTATGCAATAATGTGCCACTTTTTAATATTTTTATGCATTTACTGTAATTTGATCTCTTAAGTCCCGTGCTAAGTTTTTAAAAATTATTTGATAGTCAGATAAAATAGTTTAGTACAGATTCAATTGAAACCTACCGAAAGTTGGACCGCTACTTCTAAAATTAATCAGTAATGGAAGAAAGATATTTCTTATGAAACAGAACAATGAAATGGTTAATAATTATAAGAATATTAAACATAAGAATTCTAGAAAGTTGTCTCCAGTAGTTAGTGGTTTGAAGCAATACAATGCATACATAGTCTCCTAGAAAAAGCCTCAGCACGGGTAACCATAAACAAGAAATTTGAACCTTTAATAGAGAAAAAGTAATTACATGTTTCGTATTAACCTCCACTGAGCAGCTTATGTTCATTACGTCAGACTATTAAATTGATCCGTGCTGAGGCCTTCTATCTTCTAGGAAGGCTTCTTGAAGCCCATTCAGCTTCAGAGTGATGGGTACCAGCATATCAAGGAAGCAAGGCTGACTACAATGCCTCAATCGTACCGTTGGTCACAAAATTGACCTTCTTCTCAATAGCCCCCTTAGCACACTATGAAATGTCACGAGAATAGTTTACTTTTTTTTAAACTTTTTTATTCTATCAAAAGAAACCTAAAAATATATATTTTATCAAATTCGACCATAAATTTAGAGTTCCAAACAAGCTGGATGCTTTTTAATGCTATAAAAAAAAAATTGACCTTCTTCTCAATAGCCCCCTTAGCACACTACGAAATGTCACGAGAATAGTTTACTTTTTTTTAAACTTTTTTATTCTATCTAAAGAAACCTAAAAATATATACTTTATCAAATTCGACCATAAATTTAGAGTTCCAAACAAGCTGGATGCTTTTTAATGCTATAAAACAAAAATAAGTTAAAACGATTATTAAAACCTTCGACAAAATCAAACAAGAAGACTTCAAAAAACTAACAAAACAAGAAAATAACTGTAATTAAAAAAATTATATTGTGCATAAAATAAAATAAGTAACTAGTAACCACAATTATAAACTAATATTGAAATCCTTAAAAGTAATAGTAGGAATAATTAAAAAAAATATTTAACTATTTCTTAAGTTACTACTTACATGAAAGTGATAAACATAGAATTAATTTGTTAAATTATTGATAAACTATCTAAAGTTATTGTTTTTTTTTTATTAACAATGTAACGTAAATAAAGTTTTCTTTTCTACAAGAGCGAATATAAGCTTAAAAATGGAGATATTTAGGCTCATATACTGTGCATATATAGGCTCATATAGATATTTAGGCTCATATACTCCATATTATATGATTTTCAAACTCAGCCAGATATTAGAGTTTATACTATGCAATCTAGACAAATTAGGGTTCCCAGGAAGGGCAAAATATGTTTCAATTGAAAAAGTGTGGGAAAGCACTTAGAGGTTAATATAACAAGCTGCGTTATGTGTGGCATAGCCATTAGTGTTACATGATAGCAAGCAAAAAAAATTAGTAGACCCAGGGGTCCAAGTTTCATACCCAGTCAGGGGTCAATTTTTTTTTCTTCAATATTGCAACATAAATAAAATATTCTTTTTCCAAAAATTATTATTTTTCTTTTTATAAGAGCGAATAAAAGCTTAAAAAGATAGAGAAATTTTGACTCATATACTATGCATATAAATGACCCCATATCTCTTCTTCACATTAACCTATTCTTCATATTAACCAAATTCGGCCCGATATTATAGTTTAATATACTATACAACTGTACCAAAGGAAATAATTATAATTTCTGGCCGAATTTGAAAATTATAGTTTAATATTAAGGGAAGATATGGGGTTATTTATATGCATGGCCAAGGAGCTGAAATTATTTATTTCATCATATCAATTGCAATATTTAATCATGTAAAATTAATTTACATATAATGACACATAACTATAATTTTACCTATTTGTATGAAGTAGGCTTTAAATGAGTGTTCTGAATAGGATCAAATTAATTTTATCCATGTTTGGTATCAATCTTTAATATTTACAACGAATGAAATGTTAAGATAGTGAAATTGAATTACCAAATACTCTGATTTTGTAATTGTATACAATGTCTTAATGAGAAAAATATGTACTATCACTTAAATAATAGATTTTGTTAATATATAGCTATTTATCTAACTATTCGCATGAATTTGGAATGCATATATATACGTACATATGTTTGAAAAATTCTTTGAAATAAAAAATTATCATGAGTTTGCATACTTTTAAAAATATGGGTATAGCCAAAGATACTATTATATAAGATTAATTATATAATAGTATATTAGAAGTTAATTACTTCACACACTTATTTTTTCTTGTCACGAATATTATAAGACAATTTTAAAAAATCTATTTCTAAAAATTCATTAAAAACTTAATATCATTATTAAATGAAAATCTATTCCTCTTATCACCATCTGTTCGTTGAAATTCAGCACCATTTGGCAATGATTTAATAAACTTACTATCCAAAGTCAAAAATCTCGCAGCCAGTTGTAAAGGGCTAGGTTTGCAACATTTGGCAACTTTTCGCTGTTTACAACTGGCTGAGGCGTCAAAAATTTCGCCCTGCGCATGCGCAGTTGCTCAGCCGGTTGTACCCACAGACACAAGTTGAGGTTACCCATCATAGGATTTCCACAGAGAGCCATTTTTTAGTTTACTCTACCTACAAATTGGTACACTTATTTTGAAATCACTTAGTTTAGTTGACGAAAGTTAAGTTTTTTTAAACAAGAATAACAGAAAAATTCGCACTTTACGTAAGTTAACACATAGATTAATAATATTTTAATTCTTAATATTTGTTTTGAATTTTATTTATGTTAATTCATATGCGGGGTAACACAAATAGATACGCCGATGTAAGATAGTGAAAAACACTAAGTGCATTATTATTACTACCATGTGTGGTATGAAGTAGAGTAACTACTGTATTCGTATAAAACAAAACTACTTTTATGTACTTGCAAAATTTACTTCAGATTGGCGAATTTGGCGTAAAAAATCATACTTTTAATTCACGGTTAAAAACATAACACATTTATAACATAAACTTCTTTAATGGATAGAAACAGATTTATACTTCTTATAAAATAACTTTAAAATCAATACTCAATTAAAAACTCACCTGAATTAACATATAACAAATTAGATACGCTGCTTCGTTACATAAACTTTGCCGCCATATTGTTTTGACTTGTGCTATCCCATAATCCCATGCGGTTGCTGCCACCTGATTGGTTGAATTGTGAAGTTGAATCAACTCTTTCGAAGAGATCTGAAAGAATTGAACAGCAGTTGATCCAACTCGGATAAGTATAGCACATAGCACACCTATGTTTTTGGACGGAGTTGTCTTCGGAGTTGAAGTTGAGGTTGAGTTGGACGAATTTCCTTAAGTGTGATATGGCCAAGGCCATATCACACTTAAGGAAATTCGTCCAACTCAACCTCAACTTCAACTTTCTGTTCAACTACTACCTGAAACAGTTAAACTAT